GAGCATCAGAGAGACAGGGAGACGCAGAATCTAAAGGAGGCTCCAGGCTCTGAGCGGTCAGCACAGAGCCCGATGCCGGGCTCGAACTCACAAACCTGAGATCGTGACCTGAGCCCAGGTCGGATGCTTAACCGACTTGAGCCACCCAGGCGCCCCAACCACGTTATTGTTCTGGTGACTACAGCAAACATATGCTTAAAGCGAATTCTTAAATGGGGGGCTCCTTTGGGGATTTCTTTTTTTTCCCCAGCCTGCCACGAATTATCATTCCGACCGGGTGCCGTTTTCACAAAAGCATTTTACGTTGTACTGAAAAGATTACATTCTTTTGGCTTTGGAGAAACATTTCCTGTTCAGCTGAAGCCAGTGAAGCCTGTTCGCATTTCACATCTGGAAGCCGCTGCCCGGAGTCTGCCTTCCATCGGCGGCGAGGCCGGTGCGGGGGCCCCCAGAGCGCATGCGTCACACGTCCCAGACTTGTTTACTTCCTGGAGGCCCCTGGGCACTGCCCCCGTGTGCCCTCGCGGTTTGGGGGGGTGAGTGGGTGGGAGGCTTCCTTCCTCTCCCCGGGGCGCGCGCACGCACGCACGCACACGTGTGTGTGTGTGTGTGTGTGTGTGTGTGTGTGTGTGTGTGTGGCTGGGGAGGGAGTCTCTCTCCCTGCCAAGTTGGGGAGGGGTCTTTCTTCCTCAGGGAGAGCAGGGGTCCTCTGTCGCAGCGGGTATTAGATGTCCCCCTCCCACTGCTTGAAACATTGCCTTTTTTCACCCCCATGCAGGTTTCCAGAAACCGAACCCACACATTTTGTGTGTAAGAGCGAAGCTGCTGGAGAGTTCTGGCGGGGGAGCTCCTGCGCCCCCGGCCCCCTCCCCCCGCCCCCGCCCAGGCGGAGGAGAACTAATGAAAACCCTAAAGGCTGAAGAATTGAGCCGCCTCCCCTAGTCTGGCTTGCCCGCCTGAGGACCCTTCTGTGGGGTGTGGGGCCTGCGCCCGGCTTTGAAGGGGAAGCGAGTGTGGGTGCTGGGGTGCTGCGTGGGGCCTGAGGGGTCCGCAGCCGCCCTCCGCCGCCCAGAGGGTTACTCTGTGCCCTCTGGGGTCCAGGACCCCAGAGGCAGGCCTGGTTCTGCTGGTGGGCGTCTTGCTGAGAAGAGTCCCCCCACCCCCACCGCCACCCCAGGGCTCTGCCCCCAGGCCCAGCTGGCGGTAGAGAGCAGAGGGTGTCCGGGGCTTACTGCCCCTCCCCCGAGTTCTCCGAGGGGGTCTCCCAGCCTCAGCGGCGGAAGCGGCAGGGGAAATGATTTCATGGTGTGCGAGGAGCAAAACACATTCATTGCATTTCTCCTGACCGCAGGCGACCAGGACTGATGCCTCGTAACCCCTGGCAGCCTGCAGGGGAGCCAAACAGGAGCCTCCCTGGGCGCCCCCCCAATCCCCCCAGGCAGGAGCACCTAGGCTTTCTGGGACCCATGGCCGGGGGAGGTGCCCCCTCTCTGTAAGCCCTGAAGACCGCAGCGTCCTCCCTGACCCCTGACCCCTGACCCCAGGGGGCCAAGTTCAGCCTCTGGGTGGAGCTGGTCAATAACCCTCTCCTGGAGTGCACTAGATGCCTGGGGTCTGACAGGCATCATTTTTACTCGCTCCTTGGGAGCTCCGGGGGGCAGTTAGGAAAGCATGTCTCTTGAAGCTGTTTTCTTTTCTTTCTTTTTAAAAACAATTTTTAAAAAATGTTTTTGAGACAGTGCGAGCCAGGGAGGGGCAGAGAGAGAGGGAGACACAGAATCTGAAACAGGTTCCAGGCTCTGAGCTGTCAGCACAGAGCCTGATGCGGGGTTCGAACCCATGAGCCGGGAGATCATGACCTGAGCTGAAGTCGGATGCTTAACCGACTGAGCCATCCAGGCGCCCCATCTTGAAGCTGTTTTCAGAGGCCAAGTGAGCAGCTTGAGTTGAGCGCTTCAGGGTTGAAGCAGCCCTCTTTCCAGTTTGTTTTTCTTCCTGCATTCGGAAGTGCACAGGCTTTTCTCATAGCTGCGGGAGCCCCTTGACTGTGTCGAGGAAGTGAGGAGCAGCTTGAACAGAGCGCCCAGCCAGCAGCCCACCCAGACTGCCTAAACTCAGCGTGGGGGCGGGACAGGCCTGGGGAGGGGTCTCCGCGGTGGGAGAGGAGAGGAGTGTGCACACCAGGGGCTCTGAGGAGCGCTCCGTGTTCCTGGCCTGGGAGACAGTGAGGTGAGGCTGCCTGTCTTGCCCACCGAGTTCATGCATGTGAATCCCTGATGGGGGAGGGGAGGGGGGCGCAAAGACAGATTGGGTCCCATCCTAAGCCGAGCTGGGATTCGAACTCCTCAGAGGCCCCCAGAGCCCTTGCCTTTTGGGGCTCGGTGAAGGCTTCAGGGAGTGCTGGTGTTTGAGATGGGCCTTGGGGAGTAGGGGTGTGGGTTCGGAAGTGTGTTGGGTGGAGGGGGTGTGGAATCATAAAGGGCCTTCAGTGGGGGGGGGGCGATCGTTTTGATGGGGTCACTGACATAATCTGAGTGCTACACAGGTTTTGAAATCAGCCAGACCTTCATGACCTGCTCCTGCCACTGACAAAGTGACGCATTCTCCTCTTGGCCTCAGTTTTCTCATCTGTAAATGGGAGTTAAGCCAACTCAGTGAGATAAGGGCTGGAGAGCAGTCAGCCTCCGGCTGGACCCAGGGCCCAGGGAACCTAGCTGGGTGGCGCCTTTTGCTTGGTGGCGGGTGGAGGGTGGCCGAGACGCTGAGGCCCAGGACTAAGGATGAGTGTGGAGAGAGGGGAGGCAGGTCTTGGTGACAGGTTTGACGTGGACCCCCGAGGTAGGAGTCGGGGTGCCAGCTTGGATCCATCTGGGCTTGGAAGGCCTGATAAGGAGTAAGGGGGGCGTACTGGCTCAGCCTAGAGCCATGTCTGGTCAGTTTCTGGGGCTTCTGGGCTCAGTGGGAGGAGTCTGGGCCTCCTAGACTCTGGTGTGTGTGTGTGTCTTGTCCATCCACAAGCGTGCATCTTTTACAACAGACTATGTTGGCTATATGGAGGTATAGCCCTTTTCAGAGAGAGAGAGAGAGACCCTAGAGTTCATTGTTGACTTTTTCATAGTTGCTGAGAGCACTGTTAATTCTTCTGTCTTTATATGAAACATTTGGATCCGCGCATTTATAGTTGTAATTTGGGTACACATTTTACTCTCAAATACTTGACTTTTTTAATGTTTATTTATTTTGAGAGAGAGAACATGGGGGAGAGGCAGAGAGAGAGAGGGAGAGAGAGCAGGCTCCTTGCTTTCAGGGCAGAGTCTGATGCGGGGCTCGATCCCACGAATCGTGAGATCACAACCTGAGCCGAAATCAGGAGTCAGACGCTTAACCGAGCGAGCTGCCGAGGCGCCCCTCCAATCCTTTTTTAAAACACTGAATACCGCGAGAATGTATTTGCTCATCTGTTTGTCACTCTGTGTGCACCCACGACAGTTGCAGCACGTGAAGCCTGGGGCAGGGTTTGGGCCCAGGCGCTTCTGACATCCTCCCTTTTCTGCGAGCGTCTCCCCCAGTAAGGAATCCGTGGCAGTAACATACCTCACAGGCAAACTCGGTAGACTGGAGACTTGAAAGCCTTTGCTGCTAACGGCACCTGTTTCCCGAAGAGTGGCCGTCAGGAGGGATACTGCGATTTCTGTGAGTGTTTACGTGAAGGCTTATCTTTCTTGAGGAGGTAGAGGAGGGGAGGAGCAGGAAGGGGGTGATCAGGCAGCCATCTCGGCAGCCTTACCCCTGTAGGAGGCCCAGAGCTGAATCAGAGGCAGGATCCACAGACAGAGGAGGGGGCGACAGAGTCCCCTCCCACCTGGGGACACGCCAGCCAGAGGCCAGCCGGCATCTCAGGAGAAAACCGACTGCTGCTTCCAAGCCCAATTGGATGCTAACAATTTGTATGATTATTCAAGGATATAATTTTCCGCAACAAGTGTGATGATAAGAGACACAGAGGAAGAGCCAAGGGGAAACTTACAAATTACTGTGCCCACTGGTCTCCCTGTGTACGGACATGGGGGCTTCCAGTTCCTCCTAACTGGCACTTTTAAACTCTCTTACGTAATGGTAGCCCAACTCAAGGAGAGGAATTGGCAGATCGTATCAGCCTACACAGCGAATAAGGAAGCCGGCAAAACTCAGGTTGGGTTTGCCAACGTTCTCAAGGTTCTAATCAGGGGGCCCGGGTAGCTCCGTCTTTAAAGATCTGACTTCTACTCCGGTCGTGATCTCACGGTACGTGAGTTTGAGCCCCGCATCAGGTGAGCTCAAGCCCTGCTTCGGGTGAGCCCCGTTTTTCTTTCTCTGCTCTGCCTCTTGCTCACTTGCGCCCTCCCTCAAAAACAAGACAAAACAAAAGCTTCTAACCAGCTAGTGTGGGCTCTCAAGGTACCTACCTGTACGTGGGTGCTGTGGCTGACACTCCGGGAAGACACTTGGGAATCTATCTGATGGTTTGGGCTTATGGAAGGAAGTTTCTGGAGCAATACAAGAGGGGTCCTATGTCCCCAGGGCTGCTGCTGGCCCTGCCCTTGGGAATATCTTCTGGTTTCTTTAGGCACCTGATATACAATACTTTTTTCATTGGGGGGGGAAAAAAACAGGTGAACATAATTTTTACAGCAAGTGTTAATTGTGTGCTTTAAAAAAACCCCAACAGGGGTGCCTGGGTGGCTCAGTTGGTTAAGCGTCTGACTCTTGATTGTGGCTCAGGTCATGATCTCACAGTTCCGGAGATCGAGCCCCTCACTGGGCTTTTTACCCTGACAGCGTGGAGCCTGTGTGGGATTCTCTGTCTGCCTCACTCTCTGTGCCCCTCCCCCTCATGCGCGCTCTCTCTCTCTCTCTCTCTCACACACACACACACACACACACCAAACTTCAAGAAATAAGAGACTTTCCTTTAACAAAGGAGTAAATCTAATGTCATTTCTTGCTCTCTTTCCTCCTAGCAGGCATTTACCCAGTGGATATTTTGGAAGATGACCCTGAAAGGCATCGGGAAGCAACCATGGGTTATTATGCGACACTCAGGGAAGGGAGACCGTTGGTAGAGGCCTTCTCTCTTCCCACTGGGGAGCAGGTATGTGTGATGTTACTTGCTGGTAGAGAGCTCTGTAAAAATCTAACTTACTGGAAAGTAGAACGTTAGTACTAGAATGAGTACTATAGATTAAAAAAAACAGTAACTTCCAGAGTGAGCACTAGAATAATTCCACGCTGAGAAGCAGAAGGAATCCTAGAATAGGCTTCAGGAGTCCTGAGTATAAAGTCCAGTTATGCAAGGCGTTGAGCGAGGCAGCCTGTTGTGAGTCCCACATTTACCACTTACTTGCTGTGTGATCTTGAGCAAGTGTCTTAACCTCTCTGGTTTTGGTGTTCTCATATTTAAAATTGGGACAATAACAGAGCTTACCTTGTATTGTTATGAGGACTGAAGGAGACACTGTGTGTGATGCCTGGTTGGGCCTCAGTTTCCCCACATGTAAAACGAGGGGATTGGTTGCTCTTTGGTCTCTAGGGTTTGGCTCAGTTTTAAAATTTTGTGATTTGGAATGAAGTTTTGTCAACTGGAATGAAATTACATAAACATGATTTTTAGTACCGATAAGATTGGATTTTTAAAAAACGTTTGTTTATTTTGACAGAGAGTGAGTGGGGGAGGAGCAGAGAGAGAGGGAGAGAGAAAGGGAGAGAGAGGATCCCAGGCAGATTCCAGGCTGTCAGTAGGGAGCCCGGTGTCAGCGGGGCTGGAACCCATGAACCATGAGATCGTGGCCGGAGCCGAAATCAGACGCTTAACCGACTGAGCCACCCAGGCGCCCCAAGATTGCATTTTGAATAAAGACTGGAGGAGAAGAGAGAGAAATGAAGACCATTTATTTGTCAGGATGGTGGGACTGTGGGTAAGGAATTTGTTTTCCCCGTGCAGTACGTGAAAAGAGTATGTCAGTCACCTTTCTCTCAGATTTGAGTCTGATGTTCAAAGAGACCAGGTTTTCTCGTTTTACACGTATGTAAGGTTTTCCTCAGATTACCGTTGCTGCCTGGCGTAGCAGGGTTTTATTTCACTGGACTGAAGTTGTTCCAGAGTTAATTAGAAAAGTGCCTTGTGCAGCTTATATAGTGTGGCTTCCTTGAGATTTTTGAAGATGCTAATTCATAATCAAGTCCTAGAAGAATCCTCGGGGTGATTCCACATTGTTTTGCAGAGGGAGCTGGAGGGAGGTCCTTGCACGCACACGCTCTCAGCGCCCCCTAGTGGCGGCTGAGCCGGAAGAGGCCGCAAGCTCCCCGTTAGAGGTAGGGTTGCTAATTCTTGGGGAACCAGAGGCCCTGGGCTGCAGGGTGGGACTGAGCCGAGCGTGGGGAAGCGCAGGTCACCCGAGAAGCGGGTGAAATACAAGTTAGCGCTGGAGTACCTTAGGATGCAGTTTCAAACTCTGCTTTCAACGCACGCTTATTTATGAGATTGCATTCCTTAAAACCCCCTGAATATGTTAGTGTGCTCAGCGAGCCAATACTTTTAGTGTTATTAGCAGAAACATAACAAAATAAGACAGTTGGGAAAGTTAACTTTTTTTTTTATGCTAGAAATGCTGAAATGACTTCATATCTCTCTGCTTCTCCCCCTTGGAAGAAAATAAGCTTCCACGAGAATATTACCATTTGTTTTCCAACCATTTTAGCGATTACTTAAGAAATGGTAACTGTTTAGTACCACTTAACAGTTGAAATAGTTGAATTTGGGGTGGCATCGGACCTCCTCGTTGCTTTTAGCAAATTTTACTTTTGTTGTTGAATCCAGAGAGATTTTTTTCCCCAACAAAAAGGAAGATGAGAAAGTGGTTTGAGGATACGTGATACCCCGTTGATCTGGTTCTCCGGAAAGTCCTAATTAACTGTTTCCAGTCTTGAAGCTGTCTTATCACATTTAAACAATAATACTTATGATTTTTCTGGTAATAGACCAGCATATCCTGGTATAATTAATGGTACGATTAATTGTATAATTAATAATATATTCTATAATATGTGGGGAAACTGTAGCCAGGGAGAGAGAAAATTAAAAAAACCCACAGTTAACTGCTGTGAACATTTTGACATGTTTTGTTTAAGTTTTACTTCTGCAGGTACATTTTAAATATTCAGGTCCTCTCGGAATGCAGTATTGTCTGTAATAAACATCTTTTCATGCCAATACAATGCTCTGTGTGTATACTTTTTAAAAGATTTTATTTTTTGGGCTGCCCGGGTGGCTCAGTCGGTTGAGCGTCTGACTTTAGCTCAGGTCATGATCTCGTGGTTCAGGAGTTCAGGCCCCGCGTCGGGCTTTGCGCTGACAGCTCGGAGCTCTGAGCGTGGAGCCTGCTTCGGATTCTGTCTCCCTCTCTCTCTGGTCCTTCCCCCACTCACGCTTTGTCTCTTTCTCTCTCAAAAATAATTAAGCATTAAAAATATTAAAGAAAAGATTTTATTTTTAAGTAGTCGCTTAAACATGGGACTCAAACCTGCAACCCCGAGGACAGGAGTCACACACGCTCCACCCACCGAGCCAGCCAGGGGCTCCTCTGACAGCCCTCTGGTGGGGAACCTGTGCTTCACAGAACCACCCTGGGGGAGCAGCTCCGAGTCTCCCTAAAGGTGACTTGAATTTGTTAAGAAACAGTTCTTAACAGAAACCCCGGAAACGTGCACAGGCAACCGGCCTGCCTAGCACAGTGCCACATCCTTCCCTCCTTTTCTTATATTCTCCTCGGTTTTCAAAACGGACTTTGCAATGGAACATGTTGACCTTCTGCTTCGGGAGCCGGGAGCAGCGGGCTCGATGGCCCCAGAGTGGCCTGGGACGGCAGCACTTTGGAGACGGCTCTGGGACAGTCCCCGCATTAGAGGCCCCGCACACGCTGCTTGGTGTCCCTCGGGGTCCCGAGCGAGCAGGCAGCGGCCGTGAGGTGTGCTGCCCCTGGGCCGCCCCGGAGCCAGCGCTGAGCCTGCAGGGCCCAGAGAGGCCGTGGGTTTGTTGAGACTGCTTGCAGGCAGCCCGAGTGGCATCGTGGGTGGACGCAGGCTTGTTGAGGCTGTTTCCATGGAGTGGCCGCGGGAAGACCGCAGAGGCCAGCCTGGCAGGTGTGGGCCCGAGGGGGCCGCGGGGCCAGTGGCTTTTGTAGGCTGAGGCCCAAGGGAGATTTGGGTCGGGGGGGGGGGGGTGCATGGAGCCCGAAGCACATGGAAGGGAGAGACTGGAAGCGTATCAGCTGAGAAGGTATCTAATCAGTACTTGGATAGATGGAAAGGTTTTTTTTTTTTTAATTTTTTAATGTTTTATTTCTGAGAGAGAGAGAGAGAGAGAGAGACAGCGTGAGCAGGGGAGGGTCAGAGAGAGAGGGAGACACAGAATCTGAAGCAGGCTCCAGGCTCTGAGCTAGCTGCCCGCACAGAGCCTGATGCGAAGCTTGAACTCACGAACCGTGAGGTCATGTCCTGAGCCGATGTTGGACGCTTAACCGACTGAGCCACCCAGGCGCCCCTAGATGGAACGGTTTTGCTGGGCGTGGGACAGAGGAAGGGCCTTTGTCACATCCCATTTGTGTTTAGCTCAGAGTGGGTAAAGGTTTCCATTTCCACAGTGCCTCCATCGTCAAATTAACCTCTGGGTAACAGTTCTTTTGGTGAATCCCGTGCTAATTAGTTGTGGAGCAATTTCCCGTGCCCTTACCAAGATGACAGAGCAAAATGGTGATTTTATTATTTTTTTTTTTTCAGATTAAACTGGAAGCTTTGTCTGTTCGCTTATGCACTGTGTACCGTGATGAACCTCAACATAAAATATTAGCCTTGGTTAATCCCCAGGACACAGAGACAGGTTGGTAGTTATTAATGGATTAAAAAAAAACAAGAATTCTGATTTAATTGTTTACAGCTAATGGAATTAAATATGTAGAATGGTGGTTGTACTCTTAGGCTGGACCTAGAAGAATATCAAGGCAGAAGTGATTTATTTTCAGCCTTTAGAGATCTGATAGTGCGTTATTTTGTTTCCTGACACATGTGTTGGCTTTTGTATTAAGACAGTAGACCCCTTTGGGGTGCCTGGGTGGCCCAGTCAGTTGAGCGTCTGACTTTGGCTTAGGTCATCATCTCATGGTTCGTGGGTTCGAGCCCCGCATCGGGCTCTGTGATGACAGCTTGGAATCTGGAGCCTGTTTTGGATTCTGTGTCTCCCTCTCTCTCTGTCCCTCCCCTGGCTCTCACTGTCTCTCTCTCTCAAAAATAAACAAACATTAAAAAATGTTCCCACGATGACTGTATTCCAAGCTGCCTTTGAGGGTAATACTTGCTGTTCTTGTTTATAACATGTATCTGTTGCATGCAGAGCGGGGAGCCCTTTGGCTGGAGTGTCCCCATAGCCCTATGAAGCACAGGGACTGTTCTTTTTTTTTTAAATTTATTATTTCTAGGAGAGAGAGAGAGAGAGAGAGAGAGCGTGAGCAGGGGAGGGTCAGAGAGAGAGGGAGTCACAGACTGAAACAGGCTCCAGGCTCTGAGCTGGCAGTCAGCACAGAGCCCGACGTGGGGCTTGAACCCATGAACCAAGAGACCATGACCTAAGCGAAAGTCGAACGCTTAACCAACTAAGCCACCCAGGCGCCCCGCACAGGGACTGTTCTTAACCCCCAGGTACAAACGCGGCCTCTGATGGTCAAGTGATCTGCCTGGGGCCACACAGCTAGTGCAAGACAGGGGAGTTTTGCAAGGTGATGATTGGGCGGGGTTTCGTTTCTGATGAGGAAGCTTATGTAATCTGTAGCTCATTTATTCTTCCTCTGCATCATGAAGAGACCATTTGGGCCTGATTTCAGCTCCTTGCAGGGACTGCTGAATTGCATACGGGGCAGGGCTCTGGGGCTGTCAGTAGTGGGCGGCAGGAGACGGGGAGGGGAGAAGGGTTCGAGCCCATGATTCTACCTGGGGCCCAGGGCACCAGTGAGCTGTAAGCAAGACACCTTTGAAGTCTCTGACTTCAAGGGGACCCCCATTTAAGTTTCATTCTATAAAAATTTTTTTTAAATGTTTATTTTTGAGAGAGAGAGACACACACAGAATGTGATCAGGAGAGGGGCAGAGAGAGAGGGAGACACAGAATCCAAAGCAGGCTCCAGGCTCTTCTCTGTCAGCACAGACCCTACATGATGTTGGAACGCATGAACTGCGAGATCATGACCTGAGCCGAAGTCAGACGCTTAACCGACTGAGCCACCCAGGCGCCCCAGTTCCATTCTCTTTTAGAAATTTTCTCCTTGATTATATTTTTCTGTGTTTTACAGATTTTTTTTTCAGGGACCATGTGTGGTTTTCCTAATAAGAAATTTAAAGAGACCAAACCAACCCTTTATCAGTCAGCCCTCCTTAAACGATGTAGTACCTGGTGAAAGTTTGGGGTTACAGATCTTTAACTATAATTTGCCCGGGGTGGGGCTTCCTTCAGCTCTCCAGCCCCTCTGGAGAAAGTTTGCTTTTCACCCTGCGTATCTGGGGTTTGTACTCAGAGGACACCCTGATTGGTGTCACAGGCATCCTGGACTGGAGAAACTTATTCAGCCCAAAGACTGTCGTTTTTGCTTCTTTTCTTATTAATCTAGAGAGACAAATGTGCTTAGCTAGCTGGCTGTGGGAGTTTTCGGCATGCTGGCAAAGCCTCTTCATTGGTCTGAGGCTGAGAGCGGCTGCTGTGTGTGAGAGCTTTCCGGTCCAGGTTTAGGGCTCCTTCCATTTCTGTCCAACAAAGCCTTGGTTGCCATGAACAAAGGGGCCGTGAGAACCCCAGGCCCTTGACGTTGCCTTGCATTTGGGACTCCATCACCAGGTTGGCGAAAGTAACAAGATGTGCCCACAGATACTCTTCAGTGAATAGATTGTCAACAAAACTCAAAATATCACTTACCGATTTTAAGAAAACGTCCAAATATCAGCAGCGTTCCCTCCCCTCCCCCCACCTTTTCTCGGCATTTAACAATATCCCCGGTTATAGGTCTTTAACTATAATTTGCATCCTGTCAACATATGACTGACTCATAAATCTGTTTCCTGTTTATACTGTACTTAATTTTGTGGTTTTCAAGAATGTATTGTAATAAATATTCATAAGCTACGAGAAATCTCACTCTGGACCTTTCCTTATTTGCAATAGCGCTTTAAATAAAGTTTTCAAATGTTTCCTTACTGGCTGGGGCTCTGTGGTGCTTGCTGAAATTTTGCACAAGTTCCAGAAAGTGTGCAGGTGTTGTGCATACCTCATGCTCTTTAATCTAGTGTTTAGAAGTGGACGTGAGTGCATGAAAGCACCTCCTGTAGCTTGAAACCTACGAACTCCGGGGCACCTGGGTGGCTCAGTTGATTAAGCGTCCGACTTCGGCTGGGGTCATGATGTCGCTGTCTGTGAGTTCGAGCCCCGCATTGGGCTCTGTGCTGACAGCTCAGAGCCTGGATCCTGCTTCAGATTCTATGCCTCCCTCTGTCTGCTCCTCCCCCGCTCACACTCTGTCTCCCTCTGTCTCAAAAATAAATAAACTTAAAAAAACCCAAAACATACAAACTCAGAAGCAGCTGATGGTAATGTAGACTCTCTTCCCATCTCTGACCTGTTGGTTACCTCTCCCCCATGCTTGTTATGGCCGTTGAGAATATCGTCCCTGGTGCTTTTATAGTTCTGCTGAAACCGTTGTTTCGGTGAAGGCCATGAGTATGTCTGGGTGTATGTGTGGTTGGATGGACCCTAAAGAGATCTGAAGCTGGTTGATAAGCCCCATGTATGAGTTAATTATTGAGAAGCTGGTTGAATCCATCGCAGCAATTCCTGATAACCCCGTGAGCAAATGACAAGCTCCCAGAGTTCTGAATTCCCAGGAAACGAGCAGTGAACGTGCGTGAAACGCTGCCGTTGGGATGTAAGTCGGGAAGCTCTCTAGCTTGCCCTTTCCAGAAAGGTGGTTTGAGCAGCACGTGCCTTTGTCCCCGTGGGGTTCATTCTTGACTGTTTCTCTGATCGGAGGCTGGTCAGTCACCAACGGTGCCGAGGACCCGCCATTCCTTAGTTGCCTCTCAAGGACCTTATCTTTCATTCCTTTCCCCTTGTTTTACTCTTCCTCCTATTTTTAAATTCTTTTTTTTTTTTAAATATTTTTATTTATTTCTAGGAGAGAGAGAGACAGCGTGAGCAGGGGAGGGTCAGAGAGAGAGGGAGACACAGACTCTGAAATAGGCTCCAGGCTCTGAGCTGGCAGTCAGCACAGAGCCCGACGCGGGGCTCGAACCGCGAGATCATGCCTCAAGCGAAAGTNGAGATCATGACTCAAGCGAAAGTCGGATGCTTAACCGACTAAGCCACCCAGGCGCCCCTATTTTTAAATTCTTAACTGATGTCAAGTGTTTACAGAGATGAAAAAATAACTCCTTATCAAAAAAAGCTGTGGGCTTGCTCTTATCTCCTGCCTTCAATCGAAACTGTGTACCCTAGCATTCCAGATTCCCACCCACTGACGGCCCTTTGCCTTTCCCATTTCCTCCTGTGGTTCGCAGAGAAGAACACAACGAACCAGGGCGATGGTGTCAGAGCCGACTCATTTGGCTTCCGGGCTCCGCCAGCTGCCTGGGTGACCCCGGAGAAGTGATTTAGCCCGAACCGGTTTTTTCATTTGCAAAACAGGACACCTCACCTTGTGAGCGCAAAGTGATTTGCGGCAGAAAAGCCGATGATGCTCTGGACCGTCCAAGGCCGAGTGTAGGCGTGTTCTTACATGGTGCACTCGCCTCTTGCACGTGAGGGCACGTGGTGCTTCCTCTTCCTCCGTCTTCGAGGGTTGTGTTATAGAAGCCGGGGGTTTTAGAACGGGAGGCATTCTCATCAAGCGCTGGCCATGCTTTGGTAGCTGCGTTACCTCCCTGATGAATTCTACCTGCATAGCTCATGGATAGGAAGGCAGTTCACACTAGGCCAGGTTAGTCTGTGTTTGAGCAAACCTAACTGTAAGAGAGTTGTTTCTTTCTACTGACCCCTAACTGCCTCACGGGATAAATGTCATACAGTCCATCCAAAAGCAACCAATGATCAAGGATGCACCCTGGTAAAAAGACACAGATGGCGGTTTTCATCCTCAGAAAGCCCAGTGAACCCCGGCATTGAAGTGGGGCTGCCGGACAGCAGATGTGACCCGGGACTGTGGTAACGGAAGGGTAATATCCTAGGGCAATTATAGCTTTGTTCTCTTTGGTGCTGCTCAGGCCACATAGGAAGCAAACTGGCACTTATCCATGGAGATGAACCAGGGCGATGAGAGGGCTTGAAACCATTTGAACAAAGCTTGAAGACAGTAGGGCTATTTAGCTTTGGAGGAGGGACCCAGGGGTCCAGAAGCTCATGATTGCAGGGCTGTTTAGATCATTAGGTCCAGTATTTTCCAAGATGATTTTAGGGGGGGTGCAGTTGAATTTCAGGAAGAAAAAAAAAGGATGGATGATCTTTTGAATTTTATATCAGTTCTAAATATATCAAGGAAAAAGTTTTCATTTCCTACTCATATGCCTTTGACACGTACCTAACACTTGTTAATCTTAAAAAAAAAAAGGAGAAAGGAAAATAGGTCTCCCAGCTGAGAGCCCATAGCTAGAATTGAAAGATTTGTCTAAGGTTTATTTTTATAACAGCAAACGATGCTTCTTTGGTAGTAGGGCTGATGAGGTAGGCATATACATCTGTCAGTCTTGACGGTGGTGCCTGGGGAGACTGGCCTCTAGTCTGGGGCCTCTGCATCCTGGGATAGGCTGTCCTATCCTGGGAAAGCACGGAGTATTAGAACATTCTTCGCG